TTAGACACAGCAAGAGAAGAATATTCACCAAAGACAGCAATTGAGGACATCTCTACTTGATTCACCTGAACCAATCTCCCTATCCTGAATTGCCCATTGTGATCTACCAGTCAAGTGTCAGAGAACCCCTGGAGTTCCTCATGGCTGCTTTGTACTTAGGTCAACAGTTGGAGCATTTAGTACCCTGAGGCAACCAACTCTTGAGGAATTCCCAATACTTTTAAGGAAAAATGAATATAACCTGCATTGTTCCTATTACAGCTCTGTTGTCAAATGCATATTACCATTATAGACATACACAGTACACAAGGAACCTCATTTTAATAATTGTTTTTTACGAATATTCAGTCATAAAGGATATTAATTTTACCCATAAACCAAAAATCCCAAATCTAACAACTTCTAAAAAAAATTCAGCAATCAACTTTCTTTTAGAAATACAATTTTTTTAAAATGAAACAAAATTCCACCATTTGTGGCTGGGCACACCTGTCATATCTGGTATTTATGACCATATTACCATAAGATTTAGAGGTACAAGGAATCTTAGAGATCCATAATTGTATAGTTGAGGAAACTAAGGCCCAGAGGAGTTAGGTAACCTGCTCAAGAATACCCAGGTTGTAAATAACAGAACTGGGCTTTTGGACTCCAAACCAGGTACTCTTTCAGCTGGACCATATTGGTTTTCATTTATGTTTTCACTCATTTTTGGTATGACTGAATCATTTAGTACTATTGGGCTAGGTGCTGTAGGAGACAGAATTTTAGAACTGGGAGGAACTTTTTTTTTTTAGGCAATTGGGGTTAAGTGACTTGCCTAGGGTCACACAGCTACTAAGTTTCAAGTGTCTGAGGCTGGATTTGAACTCAGGTCCTCCTGACTTCAGGGCCGGTGCTCTAGCCACTGCGCCACCTAGGTGCCCCAGGAACTTTTGATATTATCAAATTTAACTTCCCTTATTTTAGGCTGAGCAAGCCAAGTCTTATAGACATTAAATAACTTCCCCACAATCACAAAGGCATTTAATTGTAAAGTGGAACTCAAACTCCTGTCTCTTGACTCCTGGTCTCGTGTTTTTTCTGACAGTCTAATGCTCATTCCACTTTGCTGTGCTGACTATAGCTGTAAATGAAATAAGCGCTTAAGCAGCTTACAATCTAGCTTGGGAGACAAAAATAGTATAGATTAGAGAACAATTAAATGTGAAACTATGTTGTATTGGGGGCAGCTAGATGGCACAGTAAATGGAGGAGTACCCAGCTTGGAGTCAAGAAGACTCATGTTCCTGAACTCAAATCTGGCCTCAGACATTTACTAGCTATGTGATCCTGGGCAAGTCACTTAACCCTGTTTGCCTCAATCTTCTCATCTGTGAAATGGGCTGGAGAAGGAAATGTCAAACCACTCCAGAACTTTTGCTAAGAAAACCCCAAATGGGGTCACAAACAGTCAGGCATGACTGAAATGACTGAACAAAATGTTGTATTGACTATAGATTCAGGAAATCCAGGCCTTGGAGGAAGAGCAGGATTTGGAAAAACAGAAAAACAATCTGGTACATTGGAAAAAGTGTCACCTCAGACTCAAAAGACTTGAGGTTTGAATCCATGGTAATACATTTACTAGCTGGGTTAACATAGGAAAATGATATAGTGTCTGTGAAGATCAATTTCCTCATCTACAAAAAGGTAAATATTTGTACAATCTCCCTTGTAGGTTGAGTTTTAGTGTAGTAGGTATGCAGCTCTTATAAGCTCTGGGGAATCTCATTCCAACTCCTACTCTCTCAGACTACTTGGGCTCCCCAAGCTAGGCTGGCTATATATATAATATCTCCCTTTCAGGGTTCTAGGGGGGTACTCCTAGGAGGCTGAAGCTGTCTTTTCTCTAATGTTATTAGCTCAATCCACCATTCTCCATTCCATTGTGAGTTGCCAGTCATTAACATTACAGCTCCCATTTAACAAATTAACATCAATTGGTTTTTAAGTGACATTTATTTTGCAGATATAGCAAAAACAGAAATACAAACATCTACCCCTTCTTACATCTTGGGGTGGGGTTATACCTTTTGTCTCTGGGGAGAGTGGACTCAGACAACACAGTTTTTTTTTTACAGCCAGTTTTATTTTATTTTAATTTTTAACCTGTCAACAAGCATTTTTATATATTTTATTTCCCCCCAATTTTAACATTTTAAAAAAAGTTTTGAGTTACAATTTCTATCCCTCCCTTCCTGCTCCCTGAAACAGCAAGCAATCTGATATAATTTATAATGTATAAGGTTTTGGCTTCTACTGGACTAGGTCCTGAAGATTGTTCCTGGCTATTCACTCAGGGGAGCCTTGGTGTTGAACTGTTTAGAATCTAGACTCTAGATGCATCATGAATTCCATTCTAGGACCTCCTTCCTAGTGGCTCATTCTCTAGATTTTTTTGAAGCTCATTTGGTGGTAGCTATCTCCAGTCCCCTTAATTGAGAAGCAGGAAAAATAAATACAAAGACAAAGAGCTGAAGCCCATGCTCCCTGGTCACTTAGTCTTATGCAGGCAGGGACTAAGGCCTTTCCTTTAAAACAATGGCCCTCTTCTCTCACTTGAATACAGCCAGGTAGGAAAGAGTCAGACCAAAAATGACTGACTCTGGTAGACTATTGCCTATTGAAGGTCCCCACCCCACTTCTGACTACACAGTCCTCAAAACCTTTCTCTTTGACATGTGGTTACCAGAGCAGAACCAGTTACATTTGTACATGCTCCAGTGTGGGAGTAAGGCATTTTCATTATGCGTCAAGTTGTTTCTCCAAAAGTAGACTCCCCAGTTTCTTCCACATTTGGATTGCATTAATTGTGTAGGCAAATGACTTCTCAGAAGTCCTCCTTCACATATATGTGTGAATAATTTTAGGTAGGAAAGCAAGGTGAGCAAACACAAAGAAGTGTAACTAAGAATGGATATTCCAAGAGACCTGGAGATCTTTTCCTGGAGCAAAAAAGTGTTCTGGGAGAAATGGATCATTGATTTAGAGTTGGAAGCTACAGGACACAATTGAGGAAAACTGAGATACAGAGAAGTTGTGTTTTATCCCGAGTCATACAGAATTACAATTTGAACCCAAGCCCTCTGACTCCAAATCTAGTAATCTATCCATTGTACCACACCAAGTAGTAGAAAATAAGATGTAATAGGTAGATTTCAGACAAATTATAGAGGGTCCTGAAATTCAGGTAAGAGAATGGATTAGGAGATCTGTCACAGCAAGGGCCTTTAGATTTCAGGGAATCTAGTAAACTTCTATTGGAAAAAAATGCATCTTTATTTCAATAGAATTTGCTTTCTTTGTAATCCTAAATATTTTATTTTACATATTTAAAAACATTATTCTAAGAAGGCATGCAGAGGTTTCAAATTGTCAAAGCACTCCATGACACAAAAAAAGTTAGTCTCTTTAACAAGGAAAGAAAGAAAGAATGAGTGAAAAAGCATTTATTAAGGGCTTATTTTGTTCCTGGCAAGGTGTTGGAACCTTGAGATACAAATACAAACAGAAAGAGTGCCTGCCCTTGTGAAGTTTACATTCTGATAAAGGAAAACAATACATGTGGCCTAACTGTAGTTAGGGAAAGAGGTGTTTTGGACTGAGAAGTCATTTGGAAGTTAAGGAGAGCTACAGGGCAATTGACTGACTTGAACTTTCCAGGAATGGCAGTGTTGATTTGATAACTCTCAATAGAACATGGGTAGCTAAGAAGTGACTTTATGAAAACAATGTTTTAGGAAGATTACTCAGCCACCAAAATGCAGAATTGATTTGGGTGGAGGAGGGAAAAGAGAGAGGGGAATTGAAGGAAGAGAAATTAGCTAGGAGATTAGCAATAATTGAGGAACACGGTACAACTATGGTGATGTGAGGATCTTGGCAGTGGGAATGGAGAAGGTGGAATTTAAACAAATAAACAAGTCAAAGGAAGAGATGTCAGGATATGAAAACTGGTTAGGTATAGGGAAAAAGAAGGAAGATTTAAAGATAATTAGCATGACAATGATGACAGTTAACATTTATAGAGTACTTTAAGGTTTGAAAAGCACTTTGTGGCTCCAAAGCCATATGGAAGGCTGAGAGAACTCCACAGGACTCCTCTATTCTCCTTCTAAATATACAAATTAACCTTAATGTCCCCTGGAAAGAATGAGTTTACTCAATTTAGGCTAATTTTCCTTTATAAAAGCATGCTGTCATTTAAAAAAAAGATTTTTCTGAACTGATCCAGATTTAAAAATGATTTGAGTCAAAATTAACTTACATTAAACTATTAATTATCTCAATTTTCCAGGGCTATTTCCTCTTCAAATTTTAAAAAGTAGAAATCAAATATTATCGTGATAGTCTGTTATGCAAATAATTGAGTTTTCTTACAATAGACTATATATGCATATACTATATGAAGCATTTTCTTTAAATGGCTCTTTAAGTATTTATAAATTCTTGATTTAGAGAATGTATTTTTTCTTTTATCCAGTCGTATCTAGTACTCCTGAAAGTGTAAAAAAAAAATGTAACTCAGTTTCTGTTTTCAGGGGTCATAGCTTTCTCAAGTAGCAGGCACAAAAGAAGTAGCCATATAGTAAAATAAGTAGCAAATTATTACAGCAAATTAGTGATAGCATTTTACACAGTCCAAAAGACCTAATTATCTGTCACAGAAATAATATCCCCACTGTATTTTATAAAAAACCCGGCTTCATTTGGGAAGCCTTAAAATAAGTGGTCATATGATTAAAAAAGGAAACGATTCGTTGTAACCCCCTATTTCTGTAATGCCCCCACAGCAGGCGCGGCAGCTGTCCCGCTGCTGACATTCCCCTGCCCTAACATTCCAACTCTCTGAGGTCATGGACTGCAAGCATACGGGCTCTTCGCTCTTTCCTCCGTATCCGTCCGCGTGGATGGAACAAGTAACGCCTCCCGGGGAACTTGCACCTTCACTGCCCAGCAAGAGACCGAGCGGATAGGAGCAAGGCGAAGGAGCCTCGCGGTCCTAGAGCTTCGTTTCTCCCCTATAAGCCTCCCCCTTCTGCCCTGCCTGGAGCTAGCTGCCTGGGAGATGACTGCCAAGTTCACTGTCCGGGGTCCCTTTGTGTAGCCCGGCTCGCGGACCCCGGCTCTCGCGCCCTTGCACGAGCCCGGCTGCCCCCGCATCGCTTGCCCGCAGGAGCTCCCTCGAGCGCTCCGTGGCCCCCCGCCCTCCTGCGAGTCCTTACCTAGTGGAATGATACACAGACCAAGTTTTCTGAGACAGGAAGTGAGGAATGTTTTCACTATGACTGAGTTGGAGGGGAACCTGGTATGTCCTTCCCGACCCACGGGACGTAGTGAGACCCTTGTGAAGGAGGACCGGTGAGAGATGTCTTCCAGGGGAAGAAGCCGAACTGTTTGTGTTTTGTAGCTGAGGATGCGTGACCTCAGAACCTCTTCAGCTGGATCATTGCAACAGGTAAATAAGTAAGTAATGGGCAAGAGTAGACTAAGGGAGCCACCCCAGGCTCTCTTTGTTTGATACAGTTTCATGCTGTCCTTTGGGAAATAAGTACCTCTCTGTTCCAGAGAGGCAGAACGTGTAACTTAGTGGCATTTTCTCTCATGAGTAAGGTTTCTTCTGTGTACAGTTTGTTAGTCGTGGAAATCATGAATGCTATCGCAGTTCTCGAAAAGATAACGTTTCACAAAGAAATTCTTCTTTTTCATGTTCCGCTCCACGGACTTGTCTATTAAAGTTTCTTAAGAGAACATGTTTACTTATAATTGATTCAATTTATTCTTTTAGGGTCCAATTCCAAATCAGGTGGTTAATTCTGGCTACATTTCAGCCTGCTAAAATGGTGCATACATGTTGAGTTTGGCAAATAAAAACTTTTGGTAGGGGAGAGAGAGAAGGAGGTGTTTTTGCTTTATTTTGCTTAAGAGAAGTGTGGCTACTGTAGGGAGAGAAATTCCTAGGTCTGCTAAATTCAGGCTTGTGATTTAGGCGGATACTGATTAGATACTCTTGGCAGGCTGGTCCCATTTTCTTTTTGCTGATAAAGCCTTAATAGTACATATATGTGTGTGTGTGTGTGTTGTGTGTGTGTGTGTGTGTGTGTGTGTGTGTGCACATTTTAAAAAAAATTCCATGTGATCAAAATGACACCAGCTGTTAGCTTAACACTAAATGACAGCTGCTAGATTAAAAAAAAGCTTTCAATTTCGAATATAACAGTTGTATTTGGACAACAGTAAACATAGTGCAACTAAGGAAATTTATTCGCAAGTTTTTGCATTTGCTTGTATGGATATTTTTGTCTTATGGGAAAAAAGTTAATATTCAAAGCAGTGGAGTTATTAAATGCTATTGCTTTCTTACTGACAGATGATAACACTTTAGTTGCTTTATTTTCAGGTAGTTATTGCAAATTTTAAATGAGATGAAGCCTTAGTAAGGAAAATCTTCACAAAATATACAATTATATTTCATTAAGAAACTTTTTGATTATTGAGAATACTTTTTAAAAAGTAGCATATCCTGCTTACAGAAGTAGATCTACCTGACTTGTTTAAGAGTTGCTACTGAAATGAAACATTTAACTTACTGCTTTTTCTATGCATTCTGTTTTCTTTGGTACTGAAGCCATTCAGTTTTAAGGTTTCAGTGTAGAAATAAGTATCCATCATAGATATCACTTTTCAACCATTCCAAAGCAAAGTTTGTAAATAATATGAAAACTTTAGTCAACAGAGAGTTTAACCAGACCAACAAATATCAGATGAGTCTTTAAAAAATTCACTTATGGCATTTTGAGAAAAATACCTCTTAAGTTATCCCTAAAACAGACAAAAGTTTCTCTCAGCCTTTACTCAGTTTGGTTTTTATTAGAGCTATTAACCATATAAACAGTTTCTTAAACCCTATGTACAGCATGTGTTACAAAACAAGGGCATAAAGAATTGAGCTAAGAGCAGTATAACTGCGCTAACTTTGTTTTAAGTAGAGCATCACTTTTAACACAACGGAGTCTATTCTTTTCTTACAAAACCAAACACTCCCAGCAAACATAGTCCTCATTCCCCCCATCCCTAAGCCATTTCTAATAGTAGTTAGCTCTGAAGAGAAATTACACCTGGTTTAAGAAATTATTGTTTTCATGCTAACAAAAAAAATTAGGTGAAAATCTTTATTTCTATTATCAGTGAAGTTATAAAAAAACTGAACTTCAAACTTTTGGGTGTCTCCTCCCACAGCTCCCCCCATTTTTGTTTCAGTTACTTAATCTGATGCTCAAGTTAATAATTAAATTATATAGTATAGTATCTGTTACCTTCAAGGCTTAGTCATTTGTTTCTTTGTAGTGAAGAGACTACAATATCTGGAACATCTCAGAATACAAATATTTGCCTTCCCTCTTCATATAGACAAATGTCTTGTTTTTCATCTTTTGCTACTACCTGTCCTAGTTTCATTTGCTTTTAAAGGACTGTTCCATAGTTTTCATATTGAAATTTAAATGTATTACTTAATGATATAATTGAAAACTTTTTTGGGAAAATTATAACCAGAAATTTAACAAAAATACCTAGTAAGACCTTGTAAAAGATTTTTGCTGTAGGTTGACTATCTCTATCCTTTCAATAGCTCTTACCTTTTTAGTAGTATGAGAGGCTATTTCGCTATAACTTCTTATGAAGGGAGCTGGCCTCTCCCTCCCCATCTTCTCAAAGCACACACAGCGTTACTACAAAGCACTTTAAAGTATTGGAAATCCATATTTTTATGGTTTATAAGTATACTTGTATTTAATTATCAGGAGACATACACATCTGCGTAGACCTTAACATCTGTTTTCCTGGTAGTTTTCAAGTTAAAAGTTTATTATTACCTATATAGCTTCACTGGTCAGTGGTAGGGAAAATAAATTCTTAAGAACTGTTATCATTTTGGTCTGTTTCTCTTACATAGTAGATTGAGCTGCACTGTAAACATCTCCAAGGCAAGGTCCATGCTTTCTACCCTGTTTTAAAAATTTCCTCCCTTGTGTGGTGCTTTATACTTGACATTCCTTAAATATTGCAAACATTTGGTAATGGGTGGGGACCTGTGCCATTTTTCTCTTTCTATCTCTTACCTTCCTCTTCTTTAATCCTCTTGGTTTCCTCATCCCCACCCCATGCCTCCTTTTTGGACCAGCCCAGGGACAAAATTTCTGGATCTCTGGCTCTGAGGGATGGTGTAGACTCCACTCTCTACTGGAGTATACATTCTAAATCCCATGAAAGGCTTGGTGGCCATTGGTTGTGTACGTAGTTAAATAAATCTATAGTTATTTAACCACAGTGTTTAAATAGTTGTATTTTCCTCCATTTGGTTCTTAAAACCATCCAATGAGAGATGTAGTACAAGTACAGTATTGGCACCATTTTCAGTCAGGGGCAATAAAGACTTAAGAGGGTGAAAGTGATTTGCCCAAGGTCTTGAATCAGTAGGGAACCAGACTGGGTTACCTCCCAAAGGATTATGTTATTGCCCTTTAATGTTTACAAAATCTTTTATGTATATTAAATAATTTGATCATCAAGACAAGTCTTTTCTGCCCTCTGCCTCCTTCCTTCTCTCCTCACCCCATCCATAACCTAATAATAATAGTTACTTTTAATGCTTTAAGGTTCGTAAAAAAAGGGCTTTACATACATTCTCATTTGATCCTCACACTAATTCCATTTCTGCGCACCCGGGCTCTTCCTCCTCCACTGTGACTACAGACCTCCCTGGCTTCTTTAAAGTCTCAACTAAAACCCTATCTATTACAGGAAGCCTTTCCCAACCCCTCTTAATTCCAGTGCCTTCCATTTGTTAATTATTTCCTATTAATACTGTATATAGCTTTCTCTGTATATACTCCCCCTGGAGTTTTGTTTCTCCCCGTTAGATTGTAAGAACCTTGAGGGCAGGGACTGTTTTTTGCCTCTTTTTGTATTCCCACCGCTTAGCACCGTGTCTGGCACATAGCAGGCGCTTAATAAATGTGTATATTGAATTGAACTGAACTAACTCTGTGAGGTAGATGTTTATTGAATTGAACTCAAGCAACCTTGTGAGGTAGGTGCTGTTATCATCCCCGTTTTACAGATAAGGAAATCGAGTCTGAGAGAGGGTTACAATGCCAATAAGCATCTAAGTCAGGATTCGAATTCAGGTCTGTCCGCTAGACACTCAGCTACTTCAGCCTAGGTAGCTGAGACCCTAAATAACCTACTTTTAGCCTGGCTCACCTTCACTACTTGCTTTGTCTACTTTCCTTGGGTTGGGGAGGAAAGTAGAACTAGGGAGCTGGAGATACGTACGGGAAGCTGACTTGCTTCCCCTCTCCCGCCCCTAGTTTTGAGTGACAGTTCTGAATTGCTTAAAAACAAAAAAGCCGTAGTCTTTGGGGAAGAGCCCTGGATTTTGACCCAGGAGATCTGGGTTTGAATCCGGTTTCGGCTTCTAACTTTAAAGTGTAATTTGGTTGATTTACTTTCTCTTGGCCACGTGTCAGAAGGGAGGGTTGGACTGGATGACCTTTCAGCTCCTTTGCAGGTTTTTAGTCAGTGCTTTCAAAATCCACGAGGGGACCTCGTGGAAGGAGGGAAACCAGTCCCTTCCTTTTGGCGGAACTGGTAGCAAAGGGTGGGGAGGGGCGTCGCCAGATCCTGATAATGCTGGGCGTGTGCCGCTGCCGCTGGTGCCACCTTGGAGCCCCCGCCCGGAGAGACTCCAATGGGATGAGAGCCCTCTCCTTCCAGGCGCCCCTCCCTCCCTCAGTCCCCACGGCCAGCAGTTCAAGGCGGCGGTCCCTTTAAATGTTCCCCTCTCATCTCCACCCCCCCTCTGGTTTGCTGGACTCCGAGCGCCTAAGGGACTGTTCCTTGCTGAAACCTGTCCCACCGGAAACGGACCTCGAAACAAAGAGCGTTCCGGAGAGCCGCGAGAAGCTGGGGCGGGGCCGTGCTACTGCTACTTTCTAGCCCCGCCCCCCAGGCTTCTGATTGGGAGAAGCTCTTCTTGGCACGAGGTTTTTCTGCGGGAGGTGTTTAACACGCCAAGCTGTGTGCTTGCCTCCGGTCCTCTACCTGCAGTAGTGTTTCTTAGCCCCGCTCAATGCTAAGGGACGTATTTTTTCCATTCCTGTTGTCAGGATTCAAGAAGTGAATCGTTTAGAATTGGATCTCGAAGCACTTTTATCGTCAAGTTTATTCGTACTACGTGCCAGGCATTATGCGAGTTGTTGGGGGATACACAGGCAAAGAAGCTTTTGCCTTCAAGGCGCTAATGCACTGTTTGGGGCTGGGGTGTAGCACCGCGTAGATAAATACTCAGGTTGATGATCACAGAGCAGAAGGAAGGACACGGGGGCAGGGGGACGACACATAACTGGAGGAAGACTATCTCCTTTAGTCACACCTGACTGTTCATCTATGCCTTAATGAGAGAAGACTGGACTCGGTGTGCAGAGCTGGATTCTTGTCCCGGTTCTGTTAGTACCCAAGGGGATGATCTCTGGACAAAACACTGTCCTCTTAGCTGCAGTTTCCTAATCTGCAATAATTGCTGGCATCTTCATAACCTTTTAAAGAATGCAAAAGGCTTTATGTGCGTTATTTCATTGGATACTCAATTTAAATAAGTAGCTACTGATGTTTGTTCAGTCGTTTCAATTGTGTCTGATTCTTCTTGACCCCATTTGTGATTTTCCTGACAAAGATACTGGAGTGGTTTGCCATTTCCTTTTTCAGCACATTTTTTTTTGCAGGTGAGGAAATTGAGGCAAACAGTTAAGTGACTTGCCCAGGGTAACATAGCTAGTAAGAGTCTCAGGCAGATTTGAATTCAGGTCTTCCTGAGGCCAGGCCTGCCACTTCATTTGCTATACCACCTTCCTGTCCTACTGGTATTGACACCATTTTAAAATGAGGAAACTGAGGTTCACAGAACTTAAGTGACTTGTCCATGGTCACAAGGCTAGTATGTAAGTGGAAGTGGAATTCCAATCCAAGTCTCTATGAACTCCAAGTCCAATGTGCTTTCCAGTATCTCACTAACTCTTTCTCTTCAAATACTATGTCAGAGACTTTTTATAAAAATAAATAATATATGTGAAAATACTTTGCAAAGTCCTATACAGAAAAAAAAGTTTGAAGCCTGAGGATATTTTAGGGGCTCAGGAATGACTTCTAAAGTATTTGAGGGAGGGAAGAGGAATTGGAAAGATTGTTCACTTTTCCAGATACCAAGTAAATAAGAAAATAACTTTTTTCAAAATAAAATTTTATTGATATATTTTGTCTTTATGTCCCCTGAATTTCTCCTTATGCTAATCTTTTCTCTCTCCTAGCCATTCCATGATAAAGTAAATTATTTGCTGTGTGATAGGTGCTGTGCTAAGTGCTGGAGGTACACTTAAAGGCAAACAAAACAGTCCTTTCCCTGTTTCCTCAAGGGAGCTTGAATCCCAGTTCAAGAAGACTACACATATAGGGGAGCGGGAAGGGGTGATGGTGGTGTCTGGAGATGGCCTGGAAGTGAAATGCAGTGGAGTTGAGACTTAGAACTGAGCAAGATAAAAGTTAAATCTGGCTTATTGAACACTAAGATGTCCCTAGATGCAGAGTCCCATTCTCTGGTCTTGGAGGCAGTGGAGATGAGGGCCAGAGTGCAGTGCAGATTGCGTGGCTGAAGGTGTCTAGGAGGTGATGATAGAAAATTAACATTAATTTTAATGGACATTTTATCAGAATTAATTTTCTCCTTTCAAGGATATTCAACTGAATTAACATTTCCCAATGAGACATTGCCATAGTTTCTAGGGATACAGAAATGAACATAATAGTTTCTGTATGAAAGAAATTTATGGTATGAGATAGATATATATGAATGTAATGTAAAGGAGAGGTCTGGACAGAGCAACTTCTGTATTTCTGTGAATGGCACTGCTATCTTCCCAGACTCCAAAGGTTGGTGTCATCTATTGCACTTCTTTTTCTTATTCCTCTCTGCCTCATACCAAATCACTTGTTAATTCCTGTTAATTCTACTTTACACATCTTAATTCCCTTACTATACCTGAGTTCAGGGCCTCTTCTGGATTAGACTACTGTTAATAGCTTTCCAAATGGTCTTTCTGCTCTAATCCATCCTTAGCACATAACTTCCAAAATAATTTCTCTGAAGCATAGATCTTCCCATGTCACTCTGCTGTTTAAAATCCTTTAGTGCATTCCTATTGTCTTAAATACAAACTCCATAGCCTGGCATTTAAAACCTTTTACATTCTGGGCGCTAACTTATCTTTCAAGCTTTATTTAACATTCTTTCCTTTCACATGCTCTACATTCCAGCCAAATGTGATTACTCAGTTCCTGGAACCACTAGATCTTTCCAGCCTCCCTTCATTCTCACATCTGTTATCTACCGTCCTGATAAAACATTCCCTCTTTATCTCAATGCCTTTTAAGATTCAATTCAGGTACCATATCATTTTTCATGCTAGAATCCCCAATACCTAGCACATGCTTTGCACTTAATGAATGTTTCAGTTGAAGGTGAGGTCTTTCAAATATGGTTGAGATTAAGGAATATTATCCTGGTGCTCAGAGTTTTACATCTATTTCCCTATCTCTAAACATTTCTTTAGAGGTCAGAGAAGTTCTGATTTGTGGATGAAGGCTTATTTATTGTTGTGTTTTAAAGCTAAGCCTGCAGTTACCAGGATATCCTTACATAAACAATTAATCTTCTCTTTTCACAGTACTTTGGTGGATGATCCCTTCACCTGGACCTTGGAGAGTCAGATGTTTTTTAATGGCTGCAGACGCTGCTGGGTGAGCAGCCTGAGACTTTACAACTCACAACTCCTCAGGAGACCCAACATTCTCTCTGCATTACCTTCCACTGGGTCAGTGGTGTTGCCTTTTCCTCACTGTCCCCTTACAATAGAAGGGGAGATAAGATGCCACTTCCGTTTGGGTTGAAACTGAAACGTACTCGTCGATACACAGTGTCCAGCAAGAGCTGTTTGGTTGCCCGAATCCAACTGCTAGACAATGAGTTTGTGGAGTTCACACTTTCTGTGGAGAGCACTGGTCAGGAAAGCCTGGAAGCTGTAGCCCAAAGACTAGAGCTTCGTGAGGTAGGCAAATAAGCCAATAGAGCTTCCCTCTTTACTGTTCTGTTTTTTGTTTTTGTATCCACAGCCTCTGGAATAAAGTAGGTACTTAATAAATGCTTATTGAATGAGTTCTATTTTTTCCTAGCTACTTTAGGAAAAAAAAATTTTAATGTGATTGTGTGTAATATAATAGATGAGAATTTTTAGGGTCAAATGGCTAAGATGGGCTTCTCTGAATTTATAATGCTCAAATTTGATTTGAGCTTTGGTCATCATGGTTCTTTATTTCCTGATTATCTATTTTACCATTGACTGTGGTGAACTCTTTTTTTCTCTTAGTCAAGCTTAATTTAGGGTATTTTTGGCCAACTGTCTCCCCAGGAATGAAAAGTATATTAAACATAATCTAAAATGTAAATCTCCTACCTCCAAATATACTCCAAAGTTAAATATGAATATCTTTTAGATTATTTAAGCCATGACTTTCATTCATAAGGAAGAATTGGCTATATAAGGTTGTAAACCTTATAATGCCATAGAGAGAGTGGTGGTTGATATTATTTTCCTTATGATCATTATCATTACAACTATGTCTGGGAAACAGTATTTAGTTATTTAGTACTGCTTTGCAGCTGAGGGAAAAGTGAGGTTAAGTGATTTGGCAGGATTCAAATCCAGGACTCTTGACTCCAAGTCTAGTGCCCCTCCTTACTACATGTTAACTTCTAGAATATAAGCTCCTCCTGTTCCATCTTTGTCTTTGTATCACCAGTATTTAACACATTGCCTTGGATGAAGAAGTGAATTTATTACTTTTCATATTTTACCTCAGTGTTTCAAATAGTATTCCTGCCTGGATTTTTATTAATGTTGCAATTTATTGTCAGGGAGAGGTAGGTAATGTGTCTTTAGGACCACTGACTGATTGATTCAATGATTGCTTTACTTTCTTATCATTCATTTGTTTTTCAGTCCTGTCTGACTCTTTGTGACCCCATTTTGGAGTTTTCTTGGCAAAAATACTGGAGTGATTTTGCTTCTCCAGCTTCTTCTCCAGATCATTTTACAAATGAAAAAACTGAGGCCAGCAGGGTTAGATGACCGGCTCTGGGTCACATAGCAAGAAAGTCTCAGGCCAGATTTGAATTCAGATGAATCTTCCTGACTCCAGGTCCAGCACCTATTGCTCTATTCATACACTCCCTTTTCTGTCTTCGTTTCTTTCTGACTTACATCTGCTCTCCCTCCTCTCCCTTTCTTCTTTGTCTCACCTGTGCCATAGATCTGCTGTACTCATTGGCTTTGCTTAGTTGCCCTGGCTAAGGAGATTGCTTGCCTCTGAATGATCTGAAAAATGAGGAAATTTTTCACCTGGTTTGTGATGAGATTGCTTTTTACTGGAATAGAAGGGTGCTTTGAAAATATGAAGGCATGGCATGTAAAAGATCCTTTGTACTTGAGAAGTCCATTCCTCACTTTCACCTCTTCTTCAAGTGTTTAATAGCTTTCAGAGTGAGAAAATGGATTATGTCCCTCTCTTTTTTCCATATAACTAGCATATTTCCTTCCAAACCAGTAGAGATACTGCTTTATATGTATAAAGAAATGTTTATAGGCCTATCCTTCCCTGACTTATCCAAATTATTTTACCCAGAAATAATCATCTCTACTCAAAGCTCCTGCCAAGTGATCAATTCTGGAATATCCAATAAATGATAATGTATCATTTTCCCTTACTTAGCAAATTGAAAATTATTTGTAGTTGTACATGTTTTTGTATTTACATGGATTTAGATGATAAAATGTGTTATTGCTTAATCTTAAAATGGCACAAATCTGGTGCTTAGCTCCTATTTCCTTTGTGGTGATGGTCTTAAATAAATGCTCTGTATTAGCACTTAGAATTATGAAACTAGAAGAAACTTTAGAGATCTTCCGATTCCTTCAACTGATCCTATATGGGCTGCCTTCTTCTGGACACTCTCCAGTTTTTCAGTACCCTTCCTAAAATATGGCACCTAGGATTGGGCATAGTTCTCATCATTTTCCCTTGGGAACCTGAACTTTGATAGATAAGCTTTGCCTTATCTTTCCAGACCTCCCCATCACTTTCTGGACATTTTCAATGTCAATTCCTCAATTATCCTTCTCTAGCCTTTCTCCCACTAACAATCCTTTATGTAACCTTTTAGAATGTAAGCTCCTTGTAGGCAGGGACATCTTGCTGTTTTTGTATCCCCTGGCACTTACTAAAGTGCCTGGTACATAGAAAATGTGAAATCGATGCTTCCTTCCTCCCCCCCTTCATTTTCATTCATACTCACCTGGCTAATCTGCGCATATTAGAGTTGAACAATACCTCTTTAGGCCTCCTTGTTATGCCAAAGATTCCATTAGTTTTCATGGCTGTTTTATCATCCTGTGAATTTACAATTCACTAAAACCTCCATATTTTTTTTTTAAAGAAACTGAACCTATCTGCCATGCCTCCCCATCTAGTACCGTGAAGCTAATTTTTTTTAAAAAGTATAAGCGAAATACCCAATTTATCTTTACTTTTGTTAAGTTTCTTATTATTAGATCTGGTTCAATGTTCTAAACTTGTCATTGAAATAAAAACTTTGAAAAATAAATGCTAGCCCAACATTTTGCAAAAAAGAAAGAATTAATCAAGAGACTACTGCTTCCTCACAGTAGGAAAGAAGTGTCTTATTAAAATAATTAGAATAGTAAGATGCCACTTACTGCAGCTTTTAATAGAAGTTGAAGACAGACCTGTAAAGTTAGTGGTACTTCTTGTTGTTGTTGTTGTTGTTGGCTAGGCAGTGGGGTTAAGTGACTCACCCAGGGTCACACAGCTAGTAAGTGTTATGTGTCTGAGGCCGGATTTGAACTCAGGTCCTCCTGTGAATCCAGGGCCGGTGCTCTATCTACTGCGCCACTTAGGTGCCCCAGTACTTGTTTTACTAGATACGTTATGTATCTAGTTGACTATTTTAAAAATTTATAAACTTAAAGGTATTTCAAAATGAAGTTGTATATTATGGATGCATTTGGGTTTAGTGCTGGTTTGCAGAAGTTAATCAGCTTCGATAAGATATTTTTATTCAATGGAAACTGAAGGTACTGTGGCCTTTTTAATGTTTTCCAGTCATTTCTTTTTCTTTTTTGCTTTTTTCTGTCTCGTTCTCTCTCAGTAACTCAAGATGCAAATGTTCTATTTGTTTCTACTCAAAATTTTCCATTTATTTTATTTTACCTGATTGTACATGTAATTAAACCCTTCTGTTATTTACTTTTTTAAAAAATGCTTTACATAAAGTTGTACACAGTTGTACTACACATTTAGCATGACTCTTCTTGTAGTTTGAATGTATTTACATAATTGTAATTATTGTGTATATTTTGGTTCTCTTCCTCCCCCCCCCACTCCTTTACATCTTCTGAGCCCCTTCTTAGTTCCTTCTGTTTAGAGTGGCAAGCTGTAGTAGAAAAAGATGCTAGACTTGGAGTCAGAGGCCTGGTTTTAATCCTTCCTCAAGACACTTGACCTTGTTTATATATCCTTCAGTCTCTCAGAGCCCAAGTATCCCCATCTGTAAAATGGGGATTATACTCTCACTGCCTGCCTTGCAAGGTTATTATGTAGAAAATGCTTAGGGAACCCTAAAGTACTGTATAGAAATGATTGTTAATATTTGTTTCAATAATTCATTTACATACCATAATTTATTCAACCATTACTATCCTCCTTATTTTGGGGCATGTTTGTTTCTAGTTTTTTTCCCTCTTTCTTATTGTTGTTATTCTCTGATAGCTAACATTTCTAAGATTATGTCAAATTAAGGGTGATGAGAGTAGATATTCCCATTTTATACCTTTCTTAAGTGAGAATGCTTTTGTTGATTTTATTTTATTTTATAATTTGTAGATAATATTAAATTGAAGTTTTGAATACAGTCTTTTTTATCATATTAAGGAAAAGATCCTTTTATTCTCATATTTGAAAAACTTTAAAAAGTACTTTTGAATCAAAGTTTTTCTTCTAATGCAGTGATCATTCAGTCTTCCAGTTAAAAATACTACTTGGTCAGGTTGGATGACTTTTGTTGTTATAGATGTATTGCTGTGTTCTATTTACAAGTTTCATATTAATGATACTGGTGTTCACTTTCCTGTCTTAGCCTGGTGTTTTTGTTTGGTTTAGCAATGAAAACTATATTTATCTCTAAGAAGAAACTAAATATCTTACCATTTTTTTTGTTTTATAAATATGTAGCATAGGAGTTACTTGTTTTTTAAAAGTTCGGTTTAAAAGATTTTCTTCTGTATTCTTCTGTATCTCTCTCTTCTCCCTTCCTCCCCTTTTAATGGTGAATCTGATTTTTTACTTTTATTATTGGTCCATTTAGGTTATCTACTAGTTACATTATTGATTTGAATATTTTATATTTTGTAGATGAATTTGAAAATCTAAGTGAAATGGATGCATATTAACATAGAGCTATCTAAAGTAATTGCTGATAATTTTCTTGATTTCTTTTACCTTTGTGTGATTTCTCTTTTGTTATTTCTAATTTTAGTATTTTGGGTTTGTTCTCCTTTTCTGATTAGATTTCCTGATCATCAGGTTTTTTTTCTAGTCACTTAAAAAAAAGCTGCCCTTGGAATTTCAGTTGTTTTCTGTCTTGTTCACATGGATCTCTTCACTGATACGGGATTTCTTTTTCTTTTGGTATATGGCTTTATTTTTCTTCAAGGTTTTTAAAATAAAGATGCAACTAATTTTCTTATTGATATAGACATTTAGTACCATAAATTTTCTTTTGAGAACTGCTTTGTCAGTTTCTCAGTCATTTTATTTTTTCAGAATCCTATTGATGTCTTTTGTTTTTTATGTTACAGTCTTTATACTGATATAGACTTTACTACTATGTAACCTTCCCTTGTAATAAAGAAAAAAAGAGTTTAGGTATTATGATTTAGTTAAGAGGCACTGGATTTGGAGTTAGAAAGACCTG